CTTATATTTCTATTTTACAATCCTGTTTGATGTTTTTATTAGTTTTAAATAATTGTGCTCCTGTATCCAAGTCATGCTACTTCCATAACTGTGTCTATAACTAATGATTTTATTTAATTTAGTTCGAGAACCTCAACTGAACATCTATGGTGCTTATCCATGGAATAACATGTTTTTTATTAGCGAGAAGATTGAGCACTAGTGAATAAAAGGATTCTTGTTGGTAAAAGGTGTTYGTGTTATTGCTGAATTCCCTGTAGTGTCACGACTATTTTGCGATGACTTGCTTGATTTCGATGTTCACAAAGCCATATTCCTTGCCAGGTACCAAGAGCCAGTTTRCCATTGGTTATTGGGATTGTTAAAGTAGCTCCCATTAAGCTTGTCTTTACATGTGCTGAAATAGGAGATGATATAACCTTTAACACCGCCATTTATGAAAAAAATTCTCAAACTAGAATAAAAAAAAACAGAAAAAACCCTAGTGATTAGTAATTACCTGGCATGTCATCTGGTCCCTCCAGGGTATGCGTATAAGGTGCATTTTCAGGTGCAAGCCTGTTCAACATCATTTCCATATCAACTCGTACAGAAGGATCCCAACTTTCATTCAAAGATAAGCTTGCTGARGTATGCTGCAGGCAAAGATGAGCCAAGCCAATCTTGTACTTCTTTACTTCAGGAATTTTAGCTATTTGATCGGTTATCAAGTGAATTCCTCGCTTTTTTGAGTTAATTGTGATMACRGACTGATGCCAAATYGTTGKTCCACACGATGTCGCCATCTTGAATGAACTGGAATAAAAWACCTCGTTTTACTCATAAAATATGTGGTAAAGAGCCTTAAAAAATACCCCTTCTAAAGCTATAAAATCTTTTCAAGATCAAACGTAAATTAAGGTTTCTACTGTCCAAACTTTACAGTACAAATTCAATATTCAAACTTCAAATACAATCAGGCGTTCCTTGAGGAGGCCTGGCTATGATCAATCTAACTGGGGTAGGGTAAGTCAWGTAATTAACTCGATCTGCCAATGGCAATTTTTGCTACAAAACCACTTCATTTYAAAGCTAYACAAWTTTTTTTTWWYCYWAMYTYYTTTKRARWTTTTTTMGTCGAAAATAYACCAAATATCAGGTCYAAATTRATYTMACCCTACCCCTGTGAAAATTACATTGTACAAYATTTCTAGTTCCAGTCTCCCTTGCAAATGTATTCATGTTCTCGCTACACGTGTGTTTTMTCGGTCTAAACGTCGGAAAATCACGGCTTTTCAGTGTAGTAAAGATGGCAATGGAGGCGGGAAAGAAGGCTGCAGCTATTTATGCTGTAGATAAATTCGTTAAGGTGAAAATCAAGTTGTTTTATTGTAGTGATTTCGAATTTTAACGTAGTTTTTAATATAATTGACTGAAATTTGACAGGACAACCAAGTTGTTGGGGTTGGTAGTGGATCAACTATCGTATATGCTGTACAAAGACTAGGTATAGTCATGGCAAATTGATAAAGCGAATCATTATATTGATTAATAATTAATACTCAATGATGATTGTTAGATATGATGATGATGATGATGATGACAATTTTAGGAAAGGAATGATGGTGTTATGATGACTTGTAAACAAACTAAAATAAAGTATTTTATCTTTAGCTGAAAGGGTACACAAAGAAAATCTGAAGAATATTGTATGCATCCCTACTTCCTTCCAGGTGAAACATCTTGATTTAGCCAACTGATCCATGCCTTCTTTGTTTCTAACACATTCAAATCTCTTGCAACTGGATACTATTGGCAAATAAAAAAAATGTCTATGTCTATCTGTATGATTGCAGTTTAGGTGGGAAAAGCTTTTCATAACTAGAGATGTCTGCTTACAAGAAATACAAATACCAAAAAAGTAAAATCTACATGAAGAATAATTCTGACTAGTGTTGAATAATTTTCTTGTTTGTAGGCCAGGCAGCTGATTGTCCAGTCTGACTTGRTGCTTAGTGACCTGGACAGACACCCACAGCTTGATGTAGCTATTGATGGTGCTGATGAAGTGGATAATCAGTTAACTTGTATCAAGGGGGGAGGGTAAGAATTACATTGTTGTTGTATSAAAAAAGTATGATATAATATCATAATATTGTTATTTGCAGTGGTTGTCTCACACAAGAGAAAATAGTGGCATCATGTGCTGAATCGTTTGTCGTCATTGCTGATGAAAGGTATTCAATCAAGGATTCAAAATTCTACAATASTTCATTTTTAACATTTTTCCTTGGTTTTATCTTTGCAGTAAAAACTCTTCTGTTCTTGGAGAAAAGGTACATCAAATTCAACATACTAAACATCTCTATGATACTTCACCAAAGGTCTCTTAAACTAAACAAACTCTTTTCATAGTATGCACAACTTTCATGGTCACTGGTTTTGGGAATAGATACACAAAATGATAACAAGAAGACCAGCCTTCATTTGTTAAATAGCATGGTGTCTTGATAAAGTACTATTGATGCCATATTCTTGATTTGGTAGTCAGGGGCGGATCTAGGGGGGGTGAATAGGGTGGCTAGCCACCCCCCATTTTTCTAAGCTCTTCTTCCTTTTTTTTCTCTTATCCCTCAAATATTGAAATATTAATTGATTTCTCCAAAGACTGATTGATTCTACCTACTATTTGCCGAGCATTTATGGAACTCCATCCAAGGAGGATGATGGAACAATCACTTTTGGGGCAGTAAATAGCCTAGATGACATTAGTGGGTGTAATGTATATTCGTGTGTACACGGTAATTTCTCATTGTTCTTGATAAATACTAGTTTTAAACGTGAGAGATTCTTTGCTTCAAGTGAGCATTGCATACTAAATTCCGCTTAAATTTGTTCAATAAAGAGTTACTAAAAAGGCCCACAAAACGCTGTAAATCGCATGTCCGAGAGTCTGGATTTCAAAATTTCTCGGGGGGGATGCCCCCCAATATCCCTAGGGGCTCCCGGCTTCGGCRTTTGGCTTCCATTTTATTACATTATTTTAGCAATTCACCCCCCACTTCAAAGTCCTGGATCCGCGCCTGGTAGTGTTTTGATGTTAGGGCTTTGAGGTCTCAGTACCATGTTTTATCATTTGTTCGCAAGATCACCAGCATTGCATCTGAAAAGCTGTTTTTTAGTGGGCAAAAGGTGTACCTGTAGAAGTTGTCCCTATGGCATACCAACCAGTACTGAACAGAATAAAAAAGATGGGTTTCAAACCTGCCTTGAGAATGGCAAAGGCAAAAGCAGTAAGTACGAAAGGACTTGGGGAACAAAGATAAATAAGTAAATCATTTCACAAATATAATAATCTTTCAGGGCCCAGTTGTCACAGACAATGGAAATTTCATAATCGACTTTGCATTTGATTCTGTAAGTGACCAATCATTTAAAGTAATATTAGCCTCATGTCTCATCGGTAAAAAGGGTTGTAGTCATAAATAACTCAATATTCTATTTATAAATCTGCAGCCACAAGACTGGGATAAAGTAAACACAACTCTAAACCTTATTCCAGGTAAAAAATCTAGAGAAAAGTTTTTTTTTCTTGTAGAACAAATCAATACATTTCTGAAGTCCAATCTCTCAGATTGAGGAAGTTTACAAGGGGAATATTGGGAATAATAATTTGCTTCCCTAAGTCTAATTTCTTCCCTAATTTCTTCATCCCCTTACAAGGGGAATATTGGGAATAATAATTTGCTTTCCTAAGTCCTATAAATTACCTGGATCTTAGAGATTGGACCTCCTGTGATTAAACCTGCCAAAAACAACTTTTTTAGGTGTCGTGGAAACTGGTCTCTTTGTAAAGATGGCAAAACATGTTGTGTTTGGAAAGGCTGATGGTAGCATTGAAACAAAAGATGCCTAACTTTGGACATCATAATTTATTCACAACTAAGCAGCTTACAGTCCTTAAAGGCCAGAAATCTAAATTGATTACGGAAAAAAACTCAAAGAGCTTGTAAAACTGGAGTATATATGCGTTATTTAATGCAAAAAGCACAAAGTAGCTTGTTAAACTGGAATATATTTCATGTTAGACAATAATTAAAAGCATTGGCTCACGAAAATAAACAATTTAGAAACAAATTCAGTGTCTTATATGTTTTCTGTTGTAAACTGGTGAAAATGAATATTTTGGAAAACGATTCAGAAACGATGACGTCAATTAGGAGTCTTGATGATTTTTCTTTCTTCTCTCACAAACCCAATTCCAGGTGGTTTTTAATTAGATTCCCTTTTGTTGTCTTTTAACATTTAACAGACCCTATACGTGTGGACGGGGCCTTAACATATAGGAAAAAAGCATTAATATATAGTAGTATTCAGCTTGTTGACACTCCTTTCCTACGATCTTTTATTTTTCCCATTCYATTTTCATTACATTACTAAACTTTTTGAACACGAAATCCCATCGAGCGGAACAGCGAAATGATATTACTGCTAGTTTCTCCCTGACAAGTTGAACAGTTTCAAAGGAACRCAAAACAAATATAAAACTATCCAAAAAGACATRMTATMTGCAKAGCTGTTTCCTAAATGGATTGAATTYTTTTATTATGCACTCGACTMAAACCTTCTAGTTTAAAGTTACATGGCATATGACGTTTCTATAGATCACCGTTCATCCAATCATGAAGGAGCATGATCGCTTGCTTTGATTATTATTGTGACGACAATGCGCAGTGTCAGTAGAGTTAAGTATTTCAGTGTCGGTAGACTTTGTTCATTCACAATGAATACTACAACAACTACACATCCGATAGAAGTGAAAATCTTGTTTTATGCGGGTTTTTTCATTGCATTTCCTTCAATTATTGTAGGTAAGTAATTTCAAAGTACAAGCTAAACATCAAGTACAATAAGGTTGTACCGAATTCMAAATGCTAAGCGCTTGTTTTCACACTTAAAATGAGCAATGCTTGCTGACATTTGGGATGTCATTTAAAAGCTTTACAGGTTTAGAACAATGAATTTTGACATTTTCACTAAGGCACCACGGAAGAGACCCCGCGTCAGAGTTTTTGTGACATTAAAGTATATTTTCGATTTTATTTGATCTTCATTGAGCTTTTTTATACTGACCTTATTAGAACAAAACAGTGACTGTTTTCACGGAAAAGCGCGCGACGGGCTTGTTTGATTCACCACTGCGTTCCGTATTGAGAAAAACTGTTCCTCTTCGTTTTTAAAGTAGTTAGAAAGTGATTTCTTTCTGATTCTATCTAATTCCTTTGAGTTTTATTATCATCCGCACTGATTACTTAAGACAAATTAGTTAGTAATAAATGATACGATTTTAGAATTGTGATTATAAAAACCAATCCGCCAAGATTCTCCGAAATTCTGAAGAAAAAATTGCTAGAGTTAAATAAATGATTAAAAAAATACAAATTTAGCTTTTTTTTTGACCGGGTTTCAATATGTCACAAATATATGGTCCGAAAATGGTGCGTACATGGCACGATCAGTTTACCCAGCTGGGCATATTATTGGATTATAAATAGTGCTCTCAACAAAGATCCCAATAAAATCGTCAAATACTTCTCCAATTTCTTCATCTACCAAATAATTATTTTATATCATATTGAAAAAATGAAAATCCCACGAAAGCAAAATGGATTCAAAACTCACTCAATGTTTCAGAAGATGCAGCATAACTATTGTTATTTGRSMTGTTTCCAAGCAACAACATCGATATGCTAGTCTCTGGTGTTAAAAAAGGCTAATCACTTTTAGGTCCTGAATCTTAAAAACRATGTTTCAATAATATACCAGTGAGCACGATCCAGCTATCTTTGAAAAAGGAAATTAGAATTTTATCTTGAAGATGCGTCAATATGACAAAAAAAATAAATAAATGAATAAAATAAAATAAAAACAAAATAAACAACAACAACAACAACAACAACAACAACAACAACAAAACAACAAAAACAAAAACACGAAAATCAAATGACTTTTACCGTTTAGAAAATTGCACTAGATGGATCTAGGGGAGGCCGCTCAGTTTACCCGTGTGGTCGTTTTAACAAGATGAATGCATCAATTATTGAAAAAGAATTTGACATTGAACAAATCGCGAAGACGGAGCATCAATCTTGACACAAGTTATCCGGAAATTGAAAATCTAAGATAGGCTACAAACTTTACGGAATGTTAGTGTCTCAGTGGGGAAGGCCGTGTTCTATTAAGCATTTGAACTAATTATAATCCTGTATCTTACGAAGATTGACTKCCTAAGTTTTTAATTAAAAAAAAACCTTCCATCTGAAAACAAAGTGCTAGGAAATTTGAATCACTTTCAAGAGTGATCGTGACTATGAAGAGCTGAGGTAMCTATATGTCCTTTATTCAAAGGTAAGCCCTTAGAAATCCCATATTCGATTTGAACAAATCTGGCAATTATAGTAATTAGCATATTGATTGGTACCTTCAAATAAATTGCTAATTTTCTTTCTCAATGCTTATTTGTGTACCGGAAAGCAATATTTACGAGATGCATAAMAAATATAAGATACTTAGCAAGACGMATCAAACTCCTACMGAAAAAAGAACGACGGTTAAATTTATGTCTGTTTCAATCTCGTTTTATTTACCTACCTATATTCAGGTTCTGGCTTGTTTGCTGTGCTATACAAACTGATAGCTACAAAAAGGAAGAGACTTCTAACGATAGCGCGATTTATATATGCTTTATTTCTGGTTGTCAGTCGGACAAATGGAAAATTAATGCTCTATTATATATCACGCGTATTAAAGAGTTCAGTTTAATTAGTTTCTGGTTATTTCAATGGACTCATTTATATACTAGCCCGAACATGGTTTTAGCTGGTAATTGAGAAGTCTATTTGTCTATAACAGCACTTCTGAAAACAAAAATTATGGTAATAGTTAGAAGCTCCTAAAAGAACATTTCTTTTGTATAATAGTAAAGAATTACCAATCCTAGATATCAATCTCGATCTTTAAACTCGAATTACATCAATGTACCGAATTCGATGCAAATCGTGCAGATATCCTCAACGGTTTCTCGTGACAAAAACAAAATTCGTGATAAAAATAAATAATTTGAGAGCAAGATCGCATGCGCACCGGAGACAATTCTGCTCTCGTTACCAGTACTAACACGTGACGTTATTTTCCAGGAAATAGCCTGGTAATCCTATCAGTTGTTATCAATAAACAGCTACGTACAAAGACCAATGCATTAATAGTCAGTCTATCGTTAGCCGATCTACCTGTAGGTCTGTTGGTATTCCCAACTATTACCATTATCCAGAGATATGGACCGACTATGGAGTCTACTKTTGGCTTAAATCTCTGTCACGTGAATATCTTTATAACTCAACTGTTTTTGAGTTCGTCGTGTCTTCATTTATTGTTTATAAGTGCTGACAG